CTACAAATGGCACCACCATTTCCCTCCCTCACTGGGACACCTTCACAAGACGCTCCGCGCTAGCGCAGCGCAGCAGCACCCCCCCACCTCCACCCAGCACGTAAGCGGCTCCCTTGGTGCGTTGCGCAGACAGCCAGGGCCGCTTCCAGTGGTGTGCAGTGTCCAGAGCTCCGAGCTCCAGTGCAGTGCGCGCCGCTGTCCAGCAAGCCCCCACCTCCGTGTGGCCCTTCCCTCCCGCTGCTGGACTGCCTTCTCCATCTGCAGGCGGCCGCTTGTTCTTTGTACAGTGGCCACCATCGCTGGTGGAGGGGGAGGGGCGCTGGACGGAGCCGCTCCTTGAAGCTGCTGCCGGAGTCCCGGCAGGGACCGTGCAGAGCCTGGGTGGAGTGCTGCAGAGGGGGGTATATTTGAGCTTTGCCGGTGTGCTCTGTGCATGGCCCTTTTTCCCCTTCCCCCTTTGCTGGGGGAGTGGCAGTGCTCAGATCCGCTTTCTGCCGGGTTCCGCAAGCCGGGTCTGGCAGGGTGGGGACTTTCTTCACCCCTCCCCACACACTCCTCCCAACTAGGGAGTCCTTGAAAACTACCCAGCAAGGAAGCAATTTCCAAAAGCAATCCTCACAAAATACCAGAGTCTACTTCTCACAAGATTTCCCTTTCTGTTTACAACTACACTTTCTAGAAGGTTCGCTTAACCTTCCTGAGTCCCACACAAGATGGCTCTTAATGACTCAGTGGGGAGGCAGCAAATTTGCTGGGTGAGGCCTGGGTGTGGAAGTAAGAGAGAGTTTTTATTGCTATCTTGGTCACCAGCCTGCTCCCAGGGTAACACATGCTAGATTTTGAAAAAACAAACTCGCTTTTCCTCCACAAATTGGTACTCAAGTTCCTAAATAAAGATGTCTGGCCAGCCCTCAAAGAAAAACATAAGCCATTCGTAATTACAGCCTCAGCCCAGGGCAGTCTACATTTGGAGGAGATTTCTCCTGCCCATGTCATCAATCCAAAGTGCTCTATTTCTGTAGAGAAAGACTTAAAGTCTTTTAGCTCTGCCTCAGAGTCTCTTTCTTCACGGAAGACAATCTATCAAACTGATAGTCCAGGAATAACAGCAAGGACATAAGAACACACGGGTCAGACCAAAAGTCCATCGAGTCCAGTATCCTGTCTTCCAACAGTTGCCCATGCTCGATGCACCAGAGGGAGTAAACAGAACAGGGAATCATCTTGGGATCCCTCCCTGTCACCCATTTCCAGCCACTGACAAACAGACGCTAGGGACACCATTCATGCCCATCCTGGCTAATAAATATTGATGGACCTAACCTCCATACACTTATCTAGTTCTTTTTTGAACCCTTCGCTGCCTGAAGAAAAACTTCCTTTTGTTTGTTTTAAATCTGTTACCTATTCATTTCATTGAGTGACCCCTAGGCCTTATGTTAATTTGTATCTTAAGAGGTTACGTGGGCAAAAACCACCCAGCAAACAGCTTTTAAGTAACAACGAATGGTTCATTCTAATAACTTTTACTCATGCAAGTAGTCTAATTGAATCAATAGGAAGGGCAATTCTTATACAAAACTGGTATCCGCAAAAATGAGCTGCGGATATCTGCATCCACATCCCCGGATTTAAAGTAGATATTGGTGGATTTGCAGAGCTCTAAAGATTGAGCCCTGATTCCACAAACGAGTAACTTGTTATGCGTCAATGGTAAGCAACATGGGGTTGGGCTCGGAGGAAGTATCCAAACTGAGAAATGTCAGGAAATTCAGAAATAAAGTTAACCTCATCCATTTAACTGGTTTGGGGAGACATCCCTGTAACTCAAAGGGATGGCAAACCAATCTTTTTGTCAGTTTCAATAAACAGTATTTGCTCCCAGGTTGGCGTATTCCATCCTTCAGCCCGTAAAAACCAATTGAGACTGAGATATTTAAACCCCCGAGATTTTTTCCTACACAACACGGTGGACTGGACCTTAATGATAGTGCCTGGTAAACAACATGCCTGTCTTTGCTGACTCTTTTCAAAATCCTGGATCCATTCCTGGCACTGCACATAAATAGCAGTGTTTCCTGTAACCAATAATGGAGTACTAAGGACCCAGCCCTGAAACTGTATTCACACATGTTCCGGAGTTTCCCTGCATGGATGCAGTTATGGGATTAGGGCCCAAGTTTGGGCTCAATCTATTACTTGAATTAACCCTTTTTAAAAAAACCAAACAACATGTATTTTTCTGTATGGCTAGTATGTGGCACCCAGTGATGTATAACTGACTACACAGAATGATATGATCCTTGACTTATCAGGCAGAGGCTCATTCTGCTTCAAACTGCTTTAAGACAGCAAAAAAGTTTTAGTTAGATTGAAATCCAATGATTCCTTACTAGATGATTTACCCAACATTGCTTGGTTCCTTCACTCAGTTTTTGTTTTTTGGAAAATGGAATGAAAATGACCAAGCTTCATTTGTGTCATTGCTCTGGGCTCAGGCTGGGGACGAGGGGTTCAGTATTCAGGCTGCCCCGGGCGAGAGCACTACCCAGGCCCAGCCTTAGGACAAGGTAAGCAAGGCGGTTGCCTTGGGCCCCAGGCCTTCAGGGCCCTGCCCTGCCTGGCGCCCGCTCGCTTGCTGCCCTGGCTGAGAGCTGCCTTGGGCCCTGCAAACTCTGGCCGGGCCTGGGATTACCCAGCCTTCTCTTACCGCAGTAGGTTGGGGCCAGGTGAGAAGCACTTCACCATGGCTGCTACAGCTCCAGTGGGCACAGCTGGGGGTGGGGGAGTATTTGTCCCCTGGCTGGGGCAGGTCCAGGTCCATCTGCCTCCAGTGGTCCCCAGCCAGAGTGAGGAATACAGCAAACTGGGCACTTTCCCCTTGTTCTCTGACAAAGGTAGAGTCAGAAATGTTTCCATATGAATGTGGGAGGAGGGGAGGTTGTGGGTGAAGCCCCTATTGCCTTCCTTCCAGGGCACTTGGTGGTGGTGGTGGTGGGGGGAGTGTGGGAATGGCTCCAGATGGAGGGGCACCCCAGCCAGTCCCTTTCACCTGCCTGGTGATTCTGACTCTTTTCTATATGGTTTTCTGAGAAACAATCCCATTCCAACCACCTCCCATTTTCCTGGGACAACCAAACACTGACCTTGCTTTAAACTATGATGAGCGGAAGCTGTATATTGAATTTGGTGGTCCTAGCTCTTACCATTTAGGAGGAGTACTTGAGAAGACAGACAGACAGACAGACACACTCTAAAATAAATATAGGTAAGACTGACCAACCATCTAGCCTAGTAATCTATCTTCTGAAGTGGCTGATACCAGATATTTCAGAGGCAATTAATAGAAAAGTCAGTCATCAAGGGATTCATTCCCTGTCACCCATTCCCAGGTTATGGAAGTCAAAGGTTCAGAACATGTGGTTGCATTTCTGACCATCTTGGTTAATAGCTAATGATGGATTTATCCTTCATGAACGTATATAATTCTTTTGTGAGCGCTGTTACATTTTTGGCCTTCACAATATCCCCTGGCAATGAGTTCCACAGGTTGACCGTACATTGTGTGAAGACATCTTCCAGTTAGTTTAAAACCTGCTGCCTATTAATTTCGTGGAGTGACCCTTGATTCTTGTTGCATGAAGGAATAAACAACACTTCCTTGTTCACTTTCTCTACTCCATGCCACTTCCTGCAGCTCCCATTGGCTGCCAATGGGAGCTGCAAGCAACTGTACCTGTGGAGGCGCATTTCAATTCAAGAATTTCTTAGATTTAATATAAATATGAGCCCTAATTCTGCAACTGCAAGTGCACCTTTATGCCCGCATAATGTTAAAAGTACAGTCCTGCTTTGAAAAGCAACTGTAAAAAGGTCATGGTCAGATTGCCTGTGTATTGTGGACTCTATAACCAAATATCCTCACTTTAAAAGAGATTTTTTAAAATGCCAGCCATATAAACTTAATCTGGGCTTTGGCTTCTTTCCTTCTCACACATCATCCTTAGTAATGCAAGATCTTGAAAATATCCTAGCTTCCATAACATCTCTGCCGCTCATATGTCTTTAAATTATGCCCCTTACACCTGATCCAAAGCCCTTCTTGGCTCATGCTCTAAAACTCCCTTCTTCTGCAGTGCCTACAAATTGTGAATTCATTACACCAAAACCAGCAATGTCAAAAAAACAAACAAATCTAGAAGCTAGTCCCTCCTCTGAATTTCTCAGGGTTGCCTGTCTCCTCTGTATCCATCTTTTAGCTTATAAGCCCACCGGGACAAGGTCTATCTTTATGTCTGTTGCCGTGCCACTGCTAAACAAATTAGAATTCTTCTTCAAATTGAAACACGGCCGAGTGAGTGGTAAATTGAACAGAGCGCCCCAGAATTCTATCCTGAAGGCAGAAGCCCAACTGGGAGAAGGAAAGAACAGAGCTGGAGCCCTTGGGACGTACAGTTAAGTTTATAATATTTGATTTCTCGTATGCCCATGTCGGAAGTTCAAGGTGCCTGTACAATATAAAACACATACAGTGCAATCTGCTTAGATACATGCCAAACTAGCTCTGCTCTTCCCTGTTTTCAGCTTCTTCCTGTCATTCTGGGCATCTGTAACTTGCACTTTTCCTGAATCGCACACCGGATTTTAGGAGTGAGCATATCAGCTCATTGTACAATTTTAATAACAAAGGCAATAAGATCACTTCTACATAAAATCTACACAAAAAAATAGATACCTATGGGGAGAATAGGAGCCTTTAGCATTCAGTCTTACTTTTAAGCAACTGACAGAGAGACACATTTTCTCCAGGATACTTCCCTAAAGTGGATCATCTGTTAGGGCTACTCTTGCAAATAGAGTGTAAATACTACTTTTTAAAACCCTATAATTTGCTGTGGTGCCAAAGAGAGGCTAAATCAAAGAAACAAACCCTGGCACCAATATGTATCTATTGGTTTTGACTATTTACAAATGATACCAACAAGATAAAAAGATGGCTGCTTCTACTTTTTAATTTAATTTCAATGGTTTGCACATAAAATACATCAGCACTTTGTTAAAAAATTGTAATGTACATTACCATCTCACATTTCAGTATACATAAGATAACTAATTTCTCAATGCAGAAATCACCAATTTAAATTGAAATAGAAATGACAGAACATTCTAGGAGAAAAGGAAGGAAAAGTATAATAATGTACTGAGTTATACATAAATATAACAGAATTTAAAGAATGATTTTTTAAACGTAGTCTTTAGAAAAATACTGAGCAATATTTCTTAGTTTAACGTGTCTTCCTGATGTTATGTGAATATTTTGAGGCTGGAATAACTTCTCTACAAAGCCCTAAAGAACCAGCAGAATAATAGAAAATGGAACTTTTAATGTTCAGAGTAAGAGACACTGTCAGCAGTATTTGAAAATCTATTGCTAGAGTTTAAAATACAAAGTTTGAACTCTCCTTGTAAGAAAAAAGTTATAATTTTAGAATAGACTTTCATGTTTCTGATTAAGACCATTTAAAGGGTAACATCACAAAGTAGCAAAATATGCTTAAGTGGTGTTATCCAATAAAAATTAAGTTAAATACACATGCCTTTCAGTTAGGAAATAAATAGGAGGTACCCTGGCATATGAAAAGCTGTAAGTTTTCCAAGATCTACGTAAGCTGAATGTTTACATTGGTCAGTAGGCTTTCATGGACATTGCATATGGACATTTGCATCTCACTTCTACAACCTTACAATGCCAAAGGAAATAGTCAAATCTATTCGTGTACCCTGTGACACCTGGATCAAATATGTAATAAGGTGTTTTTGAAAAAATACCCAGTGCAAACAATTCTGGCTTAATTTTTTAAAATAGTGTTAGTCATAACTCTAGACTGGTTTTACTGAATTTTCATTGAGTTTTTTTAAACACATTTAATATTAAATACCAAATTTACTTGTGTGAAATGCTTATTTTTAGTTCTTCACTCTACAAAATATTTAACAATTGATAATATTAACAAATATTTCTATGGAAAAAATAATTTTTCAAAAATTCAGAGCACAGTTGTCTCTGAATGGACGGATGGCTCTGAATGCACGGTCAGTGCTAGTGCTCAGATAGTATGGAACTTTGGACCCACAGTTGCTACAATATCAGCATAGGGAGCACGCTGAGTAAGCTCAATAGCCAGCTGTTTCTTTAGAACAAGGAAGCTATAAAACTTGGCTGCAACTTGCTTCCGGTCATTATTCTTACAGAGCTCCCGAAAACTGACAGAACTTTCTCCTGATTTGCTGATGTACTGTATAGAAAAAGAAAAAAAATATATAGTTAGGTCCATTTAACTGCTAATCAAACTAGATCTCATGGTGTTTAAACTAGGGATGTCAACAAGTAGTCGACTAAACGATTAACCAATAAGCCTAAGTTTATTGGTTAATCTTGGTGACTATTCACATTTCCCGCCCCCCTTGCTGCCTCTGTATCAGAGGCAGGGGGAGGGAGGGAGCTGGAGGGAGCCCAGCAGGCTCTACAGTGCTGCCTGCCCCCCACCCCGTGCTGCTGCCTCTATCAGAGGCAGCACTGGAGGGAGAGGGGGCTGCTTCGCAGCAGCAGCATCTCCCAGAGCAGCCTCTGTTTATGGCGAGCCTGCATGGAACCACAGCTGGAGAACTGCCTGAGGACTCAGCAAGGCCCCCAGACCTGCCTGCATTTGTCCTCCCCAAGCACATGGGACTGAGGGCATAAAAAAACAGAACACATGCTGGGCCTTTCTCCTGCCCCCAGCTATGCTGCAAACAACAAGGACACTGAAAAGAAGACTGAAGACTCCAACAGAGAAGACTGGCCCATGTTTAAGGGACATACCTATATATTAAAGGACCACAGTATCCAGGGGGGTGAGAAAAACTGCTTAATCTAGTTGCTGCCCAGGCTAATAGAGTTGAGAGTTTAGACTGCGTGTTTGTATTTTCTTTTCTTTTGGTAGCTAACTGTAACTTTTTGCAGGTCACTTAAAATCTATCTATTGTAGTCAATAAACTTGTTTAACTGTTTATCTTTACCGGTGAGTTTGCCTGAAATATTTGCCAATGGTGTTTTTTTGCTCAGGTTTGCTAAGACTTGTGTCTATCTACTTTCCACTGCTGAAGTGATGAACCAATTACAGGCAGTCCTCGGGTTACATGGATCCGACTTACATCGGATCCCTACTTACAAACAGGGTGAGGCAACCCCGCACTAGCTGCTTCCCCCCAGCAGACCAGGGAGACGCGAAGCTAGCGTCCCCCACCCCTAGCAGACCAGGGAAACGCGGAGCGGCTTTTCTCAGCAGACACCTCAGCTTGAGAATAAAGGACTGAGGGAAGTGAGGTGTGGGAGAATAAAACTGAGCTCTGGGGAAATGTTTGGCTAGAGTTTCCCCTACAATATGTACCAGTTCCGACTTACATACAAATTCAACTTAAGAACAAACCTACAGTCCCTATCTTGTATGTAACCCGGGGACTGCCTGTAATACATTAGACAGTGTATTCCTGAGGTACAGTGCAAGGAGCTGGGGGGGGGAGGGGGATCTGGTTGGTGCCTCTCTGTGTGATTCATGAGTGGCTCAAGGAGCATTTATGCAATCTAGCTGGGTGTGAGGGCTTCACATGCTGTTGTGCTGAGTGATAACACCCGGAGGGGTTTGTTGCTAGTCACTGGCAAGGCGAGGTGAGAGACAGCCCAGGCTGGAGAAAGTTCAAAGAGCACAGCGGTCCCATGGTTCCATGCTGCAACCTGGGGATCCCATCACAGTAACTAGAGCTCTTCCCAGTGACTTTACATATTCACATGTATGGGCGCTGCACTTCCTGGTGCTGCCTACAGGTAGATCACCTCTTAATGCCCAGAACAGATATGATCTCTCTGCCTACCATTGCCCTCCAGTGTTTTGGAACTTTCTGAGAGTGATGTTTCATAAGGGGGTCTTGCCTCTAACGACTCGGTTGCTTCCACCGTTAACCCAGAGAACCATAATAAGGCTTGGAGAAAGAGAAGATGATGAGTGGGAACTGTGACTATGCATTCATCTCAAAGAACTCTGGATACAAGGGAGTAACCTTTTTTCTTTGAGTTGTTCTGCATATTCCCAAGTTTATAGGCAGCACTGCAAACTCAGGAGGAGAGACAGAGTCCTATTGACTGAAGTGCTGACTCCAGGAGCAGCAGAACATCCCTCAAAGTGGGAATCACCAGCACCCAGTGGCCCTGCCCCTACACTGCCCTTTCCCCCCAAAACGCCACTCTTACTCTGCCTCTTCCCTTGAGGCCTTATTGCCATTCACTCCTTTCTTCCCCTTGCCCGCCCCTCTGGCAGGAATACAGTGGCAGGGGGGGGGGGGGGGGCTAGGTTTCCTCTCCCTTCTAGGGAGTACCAGTGCTCATGCTCCTAGCGTGCAAAGGCAGTGGGATGGTGAATCTCCAAAGGGAGGTGACCCATGCCATATCCAGCAATTGCCCCCGGCATGGCTATATCCTGGGGAGACTTATACTCTCCTAGTCTCTTAGATGCACCGCCCGTGAGAAATATACTGAGAGCATACTTTGCCACATTCCGTTCCTCTGTTAAAACAGCAATCTTTTGTCATCGGGCAAATCTTGAACAAACACAGACATCTGTTCCCATAAATGGAACTGATAATGGGCCATCACTGCTTAGTAATCAGTCATCCCAGTACCCAGGGAACAGGCAGAAAAAGGCTCTTATTTCCTCTCAGTTTGC